TAGGGCAGGAGGATACCATGAGCCCAGGTGGTTGAGGCTGCAATGAGTGAGCCATGATCGTGCCACTGCACACCAGCCTGAACAAGAGAATGAGACCCTATCTCAAAAAAAATGTATATACATACACATTTTATATATACATAAAATCCTCTCTTCTAGCTATTTTGAAATACTTACATATACATATATATTTCAAGTACTATGAAATGTATTAGCATATAATAATATATAATGAAATATACAATTCAAAATAGCTGGAAGAGAGGATTTTGAATGTTTTCACCACAAAGATAAATGTATGAGGTGACAGATGTGCTAAATAGTCTAATTTGATCATTACATAATGTATAAATGTATCAAAATATCTCACTGAACCCCATAAATAGGTACAATTACTAAGTGTCAATCAAAAACAAAGGCCGGGGCACGTGGTGGCTCACGCCTGTAATCCCAACACTTTGGGAGGCCAAGGCAGGTGGATCAAGAGGTCAGGAGATCGAGACCATCCTAGCTAACATGGTGAAACCCCATGTCTACTAAAAATACAAAAGATTAGCTGGGTGTGGTGGCGGGCACCTGTAGTCCCAGTTACTTGGGAGGCTGAGGTAGGAGAATCACTTGAACCCGGGAGGTGGAGGTTGCAGTGAGCTGAGATCATACCACTGCACTCCAGCCTGGGCGAGAGAGCAAGACTCCGTCTCAATAAAACAAACAAAACAAACAAACAAACAAACAAACAAAAAAATACAGTGGCACTGCACAAAAACCACAAATTTTTTAAAAAAGATTTCAGCCAAGGTAGATTTTGCTTGAATCTTAATCCATTTCTAATCCACAGGTATGTAACACTGGAGTACTGACCACAGTGGTGCTTGAATGTGATCTGGAACCTTCTTGCTCCTTGCCACTGTTCAGTCTAGGGCGGAACCAACAGTGAGATTTCCAAGTAGGTCCTTATGACGCTAAAGGACTTTAACTATCCGGGTTGTGATATCAGGTACACTAGCAGCCCCAGGCAGCTGGTTAGCCCACCACTGGGCTAGGGAAACACCCTCCAGCATGCCTCTAGCATGGACTTCAGAAGTATACGGCAACCCAAACCAGGATTCGGACCAAAATGAAGAGAAATTTCCGTTTCTTCTATGAAAGAGGACGTCATCATCTACCCTGGGAGACAGTTGTAATTAATGAGATGGCATGTGAAGAACCCAGCATCATGTCTAGAAAATACTACATTTCCTCACTTGTCACCATCCTAAGGACGAAGGTAGAGGAAGAAGAGTGCATCTGGGCCCTGCAGATGAAAGCAGTGACAACTTACATGCCAGAGAAGAAAAAGGCATATATAACCTACACACTGCGACTACAGTCTCTCGAGTCCTTGAAAGGATGAGGACATGACCACCATCTACGTATCTGCCAGTGGCAGGTGGTACAGGTAGAAGCAGTGGGAGCCAGTGGTTTTGATTAACTATGACTACACTGGCCCAAACGACTCGGTATGGACAGGGATGGCCTTCTTTGAAGATCTTATCCAGGAAGCAAGGAGTCTTGGATCTAATTAATAAGGAATACTTGGCCGGGTGCGGTGGCTCACGCCTGTAATCCCAGCACTTTGGGAGGCCGATGTGGGCAGATCACGAGGTCAGGAGATCAAGACCATCCTGGCTAACACGGTGAAACCCCGTCTCTACTAAAAATACAAAAAAAAAAATTAGCAGGGCGTGGTGATGGCGCCTGTAGTCCCAGCGACTCGGGGGCTGAGGCAAGAGAATGGCGGGAACCCGGGAGGAGGAGCTTGCAGTGAGCCGAGATCGCACCACTGCACTCCAGCCTGGGCGACAGAGCAAGACTCCAACTCAACAACAACAAAAAAATAATAAGGAATACTCTACTTACTGCCCGAGGAGTTTAATGATTTTAAACAGAGACGTAATATTGCAACTTACAGTTTTTTGGAACTTATGGAACATTCATTCCCTGGAGTTACTCTTGTGCAATATGGTACTGTTAAAAGCAATGCTTGTATTTAGATCTTTAAAAAATCTCTGGGAAATCCATTCATAGAATGGATAAACTAGTTTCTAATTTGTCTCACTGTCATCATGTACCAGAGGTATTAAAAAGAAAAAAGCATGCCTGGCACACTGGCTCATGCCTGTAATCCCAGCACTTTGGGAGGCTGAGGTGGGCAGATCACTTGAGATCAGGAGTTTGAGACCAGTCTGGGCAACATGGTGAAACCCCTTCTCTACCAAAAATACAAAAATTAGGCCGGGCGTGGTGGCGCGTGCCTGTAGTAGATCAGTAGCTGGGATTACAGGCACCACCACACCTGGCTAATTTTGTATTTTCAGTAGAAACAGGGTTTCTCCATGAGACCAAGTCTCGTCTTTCACTCAGGCTAGAGTATAGTGGCACAATCTCAGCTCACTACAACCTCGGCCTCTAGAAGATACTACATTTCCTGAGCCCTCACTCGTTATCTCCCAGGCTCAAGCAATTCTTCTACCTCAGCCTCCCAAGTAACTGGGATTACAGGCATGTGCCACCACGCCCAGCTAATTTTTTGTAGATCTTACAACATTAGTTCTGAATTGCCAAACTAGATATTTACTCTGGGAGGTTTACTGTCATCAATACTGGGAATTTGCTAATCAATATGTGGTAATACCAGCAACCAGCTTAAGTATTTATGCCTGACCTTGTGCTGAAAGGCAATTACAAATAGCCTATATATCTACAGGAATGTCAAGGTCCTTGAAAGTTTTCTGTAAATGAATACATACTTTAAGATTATAATTATACATATTTACGGACTTAAGATACAATCACTTTGGGCTGGGTGCGTTGGCTCACGCCTGTAATCTCAGCACTTTGGGAAGCTAAGGCAGGCAGATCACCTGAGGTCAGGAGTTGGAGACCAGCCTGGCCAACACAGTGAAACCCCATCTCTACTAAAAATGCAAAATTAGTCCAGGAGTGGTGACAGGCACCTGCAATCCCAGCTACTCGGGAGGCTGAGTAGGGGGAATTACTTGAACCTGGGAGGCGGAGGCTGCAGTGAGCCGAGACTACGCCATTGCACTCCAGTCTGGGCAAAAAGAGCGAAACTGTGTCTCAAAAAAAGAAAAAAAAACAGTAGCACGTGTGGTATGTATGTATTAATCCAACTTTATCAGTAATCACTTCATATGCCAATGGTCTAAATGCACCAATTAAAAGACAGAGATTCTCAGAATGCCAAGACCATTTCTGCAGAAATTAACCCCTTGGAATGGGTAGCAGGCTTTTCTAATCCTGAGTACCTGAAGGACAAAGATGTTTCCAATGTCCTATCTGGAAGAGGGGCAGAAAATGCTGTAGAACTGAGAGTCTGAGGACTCTACCATACCAGATAAATTAACAGAAAAAAATCCTTCCTAGCCACAAACTGCACTGTCAAAGACTCCACAAAAAAAGTGTCCAGAAAAACTGATCTCTGTGATAAAAAAGGATCCATCCTCAGATAAAGCATGTATTCTAAAACTAAAGATACAAAACTTAAAAAAAAGCAGTGGTAGGAAAGACACAATCCAAAGGACCATACACTTCCCTCACAGTGACCCACCTCACCACAGCCAGGAAGCAGGCTGTGAAGGCATGGGGAAATCTGACTGAACTACTTGATTTTCTTTTTTTTTTTTTTTTGAGACGGAGTCTCGCTCTGTCGCCCAGGCTGGAGTGCAGTGGCCGGATCTCAGCTCACTGCAAGCTCCGCCTCCCGGGTTTACGCCATTCTCCTGCCTCAGCCTCCCGAGTAGCTGGGACTACAGGCGCCCGCCACCTCACCTGGCTAGTTTTTTGTATTTTTGAGTAGAGACGGGGTTTCACCGTATCAGCCAGGATGGTCTCGATCTCCTGACCTCGTGATCCGCCCGTCTCGGCCTCCCAGAGTGCTGGGATTACAGGCTTGAGCCACCGAGCCCGGCCTTGATTTTCTTTTTGAACTCCAGATTTAAGTTGGTGAAAGCTCACTGCGATTAGAAAGGGACATTTTCCTAATCTTAAACATCTGAAATAACTTTTACTTCACCTAAATCACTGATCACTGCCAAAGTAATCCCAGGAAAGCCAGTGTTCCCAAAGTCTAGTGTCTGAAGCAGGACATGTTCTGTGGGCTGAGTTTTCCACACATTGAGTATTTTGGCTCTGAGTACCCTAAGGTTTATGTTCATTAAGAATATTTTAATGCTATTTAAAGATTTGGAAAAAATCTTTTAAAATAAACCTTTATTCTGACACCAAGGGTCTAAGTTATATTCCTGTATTGGCTAGTAATCACAGAAATGAAAGTGCTAGTAAATATGTTCACATATGAGAAATAGAATGAAAAGTCAGTCTATCTTATATTACGCATCAATTTACAGTATCTGCTTACGTCCAATACGATGTGATTAAACCAGACAAAAAATGGAGTCTGTGGTTGTTTCTATTTTACATTTTAACTTAGTGCATAACACAAACTTCTGATCAGTCTTTGAATGTAGGTTCTACAAATATGCAGTAAAAATAGCTTCATGAGAATAAAGCCATCAACCAGAAGAATGTAACATTTTGCTGGAATTTCATTATATCTGCCATAAATATTCAAGTTGCTTGTTATAAAGTCAAATATTATATAAGCCAAGTATTAGTGTGTAAGGAGGGCAAAAGTATCTGAAGTTTCCAGCTACTTTAATAATTAAAAGCTTAACCACTCCCAAAATGAAAAATTCAGTTTCTTTAATGAAATCTTGTTTCTACAACGGCTTTTAAGTAACAGACAGGATTTAACCTGAGGCTGAGTATATATGAGGAAGCTAGCTAAAATTTTACAATTTTAAGACAGCCAATTGGATTCACCACAAAAATTCAAACATACTTTTTGAAACAAAGACAAGGGCTCAAGTGGAGTGCAGTTATTTGATGCTATGTGTATTTAACAAATAGATACGATTTTAAACGTGTATAAAGTTTACCTGTATACTAGAATCTCCCTTTATACATTTTGCTCCTTCTATTATAGCCATGTATGAGAATCTCAGTTGATCTGGGGTCTGAATAAGACCCATTCGGTATTTTCTCATGTTCAGTAACACTTGTTTAATGTTAATATCATCTCCTTTTTCCATCTGCAAGAAAGGCAAATATCAGACAAATTTTTGGTTATTAGAACCCAGGAAACAGAATCAATGCAGGATCATTGCTAAGATTTTTGCTCTGCATTTTCTCCTCTGAAAGAACAGCGATAATTTAACACTGCAGCTGTAACTGTTACACACACAGCAACTATCCCAGCCTACTCATCCCTCCGACATCTCAACCACTCAAGCTGCAGCTGTAACTGTTACACACACAGCAACTATCCCAGCCTCTCATCCCTCCCACATCTCAACCACTCAAGTAGATGGAGGACTTTGACTCTTCAGCTGATTCACACTTGATTCCAAACCAGTCATAGTAATCTCATTCCTTCTGGCCAGTCACTGGTTAAAGGAAGGATTTATAATCAGTTCTGACTAGTATAAGGACTTTTTTTTTTTAAGTCATGGCAGGAGTCAACCTTTCTGCTCACTGCCCTTCCGCCTCCTTCATGTCTGCACTACAGACACGATGTCTGGATACACAGCACCCATCTAAAGATGGTGGGAAAGAGGCCAGTAAGGAAAAAAAAAAGGTCCTAAAAAGAGAAAAAAAGATTTAGGCTGTATACAGGCTGGGACTGGGATTGACTGGTGCAGAAAGAATTAGCCCTTGGGGGCACAGACAGGAACCTCAGGCGAGTAACAGTAATACTGACAGTTATGGAATGCTCAGAAAACACCAGGGACTCTTCTAAGTGTCCCTTAATGTATTAATTCATTGAATTCTCACAGCAACCCTGTGAAATATGTCTATCATTATCCCTAGTTTTTAAATTTAAAAAAATGAGATAAAGTATTTGTCTGAGGAGGAAGTCAGTATTACATATGAATTTATATTTGAAAAAATGAGGGGAAGAGACCTATTATTTCTGTAATATAAAGCTACCAGGAAGAAAAACATCTTCTTAGGAATCTCTAAAATCATCTTGGATACATTTCTACCAGTCATGAATAGGACGCAGTTGCAAACATGGAAATGAGATTTTTAGGTTTTTCCAAAAGTAGAAGTTAAAAGTTGAAAAACCTCAGTTCTATGATACAACATCAGTGCTTATTCCTTGCCAGTGGAAGCAATTAAAAAAAAAAATCAATGAGATTAAAATGAGATCGCAAGAAGTACTTACCAAAACAAGACAAGTGTCTACCAGAGAGAAGGTGCCAGAGCGCCCAATGCCTGCACTACAGTGGATCACCGCAGGCCCATGGTCAGGGTTCAAGGAGCCAGATTCTCTCACTTTAAACAAGAAATTGAGAAATGAAGCTGGTGATTCAGGGACTCCAAAATCTGGCCAGGTAGTATAATGAAAGTGAGATATTGTTCTGGTTTCACCACTCTAAAAAGTGAAAATCAAGGGAGGAGAAGTTAGTTCTATTTTTTTTTCTTTTAAAAAAACTACTTCAGAAAGATCATGTGTTTTGTGTAATCCTTTACAGCCATATAGGCTGTTTATGATTTTTCCATTTGTTTTCTGACAATCCCCTATACAAATTAGGGAAGATTTTCTTTAGTGGAAATTTGGGATGTATTAATAATAGCTAACACATACAACACTTACTATTTTGGAAGCCTGTTCTAAACACTTTCCTTATTAACTAAATCCACACAACAATCCTATTAAAACCCACTTTCCTGGTGAAAAAACTGAAACAAAGGGTAAGTAGTTTGCTCAAGGTCACACAGCTGGAACATGGCAGAACCAGGATTCGAAGCAACCTGAGGCAGCCTTTGGGTTCTCAGTTACTAATCTGTTACCATACACGTTACCAATATTTTCTTTAATTCATGCATCATGAATGGACTATTTTTTTCTATTCTAAAAAATGTCTGCCAGGTGCAATTGGCTCATGCCCGTAATCCCAGCACTTTGGGAGGCCGAGGTGGGCAGATCAACTGAGGTCAGGAGTTCGAGACCAGCCTGGTCAACATGGTGAAACCCCATTTCTACTAAAAACACAAAAAATTAGCCAGGCGTAGTGGCGCGTGCCTGTAATCCCAGCTACTTGGGAGGCTGAGGCAGGAGAACTGCTTGAACCCAGGAGGTGGAAGTTGCAGTGAGCAGAGATCATGCCAGTGCACACCAGCTTGGGCACCAAGAGTGAAACTCCATTTTCAAAAAAAAAAAAAAAATTCTACCAGTGTAATTTTACATTCTTTAACATTTTCCTTTTTATGAATTTCAGAGTTTATTTTTAAAATATAATTTCCTGTTTAACATGATTATCTGTTAGATTCTGCTACACAGGCATAGGGGAGCAACTCAAGAATTAATCTAAAGAACCAATCTTTACATTTTTAATTGGAATTGTTCCTCTAATTGTTGCCTTTCCCCATAGCAATAATTTCCAGTCCTAAAGCTGTTTATATGCTTTTGCTGATGTGCTAAAATGGTTTACCAACATGCTAAATGTTTCCTGTCTCTTAGGCCTGCCTGGCAATCACTAACGCTTCCTGGATATTCCTGATGATCTGTATTTCTAACTCATTATGAAAATGTTCTTCAGCTTTCTGCCAATTGCCTTTTGCCCCAAGGAGCACTTCTCTGCTTTATATTCTTCATTGGTGTAAATTAAGCAGTGGTCTTCCACTAATACATCTTTGCGCAATTTTTCAGTTTTATTGTAGGAGGTTTTTTTTGAGGGAGGAGGCATAGAAACAACGTAAAAAACCTTGATGTTTAATGGTGTAATAACTAAAGACTATTATTATAATATCCTGCTCCCAATAAAAATTTCCAAAATTAGAAGTTAGCTTTCATTTTAAAAATATAAATTTTTGGCTGGGCATGGTGGCTCACATCTGTAATCCCAGCACTTTGGGAGGCCGAGGTGGGTGGATCACCTGAGGTCAGGAGTTTGAGACCAGCCTGACCAACACAGAGAAACCCCATCTCTACTAAAAATACAAACTTATCTGGGCGTGGTTGGGCATGTCTGTAATCCCAGGTACTTGGGAGGTTGAGGCAGGAGAATCGCTTGAACCTGGGAGGCAGTGGTTGCGGTAAGCCCAGATCGCACCATTGCACTCCAGCCTGGGCAACAAGAGCAAAACTCCATCTCAAAAACAAACAAACAAACAAACAAAACCCCTATTTTGCAGTAGAAATTGACTTCTACATCCCAGACTCAGTATATAAGGTATAATACTAATAAAGTACAGTGAAATAAATTTTTTTAAAAGTACATACTTTTAGTGACCTTTTAACATCCAGCATTAATAATTTCAAATACAGTGTGATCCACAAGTTCTCAATATACTAAAAACAATAAAAAATTTCTCCATTACGAATTAAAATGATCACGGTTTCTACGTTTTAAGACATTTCTTTTTAAATTAATTATGGTAAGTGAATAAAGCCAGACTGAAGGCTATATACTATACTATTCCGTTTATACGACATTCTGGAAAAGGCAGAATCTCACAGAAACAGAAACCAGATCACTGGTTGCCAGAGGCTGGGGGTAGAGAACATGACTGACTGAACACAAGCAACACAAGAACATCTGGGACAGGGGAGCGGTGACAGAACCGATCTACGTTTCTGCTGTGGGCAGTGGCTACATGACTGAATGCACTGTCAAAAGTCACATAACTGTACACCAAAAGGAGTCAATCTTACTGTAGGTAAAAAAAAAAAAAAAAAAAGTAAATTTATTGCATTAAAAAAGAGAAGGCAAAACATTCTAAAATAAGAAGGGTAAACTCTCGTGTCCTTTTACAGAACAGCAGGTGGGCAGTTAACAAGGCAACACCGACAGGAATGGGCTAGAGGCAGGTTCTCGACAGCGCGGGACACAGTTAACTCCAAGTCAAGTTTTCCTGTAAACGAGGTTAAGATTCTAGTGACATTAATAACCCACTTTGTTTCTTACTTGCTGTGGCCATCGGCAGGACCAGACTCAGTCTGTGTGGGCCTTTCTGTGGTCCGCTCTGAGCAGGAGCCTGCAGTGCTCTGTGGTCTCTGGCCCAGAGCTCCTATGGGGTCCTGCGTGTAATTACTTCATCATGTCCTGGCTCAAACATATGGTCGCCCTACAATCTTGGGCAACGGCTTGCTTTCTCTTTGCTTGTATGATTTTGGCTCAAGACTAGTGGTCTCAATTTTTTTCAAATTCAGGTCACACTGTCTGGGATACTGGAAGCCAGTTCCCAGAAATGCTCATGACTGTTTGTATAATAAAGTCTTCCCCACTAATAGATTTTTGAAAATCAGTTGTTGTTTTTTCTCCCCCTACAGAACCAGGACTTTTTGAGAGGTTAACTTTGATTAATTTATCCTTACAGAAACAAGATTCAAAAAACACAGCTTTCCAAAATCATGTAATTCACAGTTACAAAGGACCACATGAAGGCGTAAGATTCATATATTTACTACTCTGGTAATAGAAACATTCATATGCATGACTGGATGGACCCCTTTCCCTCTTTTTCATGCAGGAAAAAAAAAAAAAAAAATGAGAGGGGAAAAAAAAAAGGGTTGCCAAAGGATACAAAGCTAAAACAAAACTCATCTTTATTCCAAACAAGGTCTGCATTTAGACTTTACAATTTTTGGCAAACTCCTTATTTTCAAAACTGCAGAAGCATCCTTTTCTTCTCCTTGGTCACCAAGTCATACTACTTCCCCTCTGATCCCCAGTCGCTGCCCCCCAGCCCACCAAGTCACACTACTTCCCCTCTGATCCCCAGTCGTTGCCCCCCAGCCCACCAAGTCACACTACTTCCCCTCTGATCCCCAGTTGCTGCCCCCCAGCTTCTCGCTGCTTCACCCCACTCCCTACACACACCCGGGCTGCACCCACAATTGTAGGCTGTCCCTGTCTGCAGCTGCTCCACACATGCCTGCCAAACTTTCTGTCTAAAACTTTGCATTATGTATACTACATTCTGCACAAAATGTCAGCGGCTTGCTGTTCTAAGGCAAAATCCCATTTATATTTTTAAAAGAGAATTCTAAATTTAAAGTCTTTTTATAGGGATGTCAAACTTGCATATATGAAGCCAGGGAAATAACCTGTGAGTTGAGCAGGTGTAACAACAGGAATTGTTAGGCCACAGCAATTTAAGTGTATGCCCTGTTCACAGCCTTCAAATGCAAGTTAATAATCATCATAAATACATAATAAGATTATACATTTTCCAATTATAAAAAATCTATACAGCTCTATGACCCCAGGCCCAATTACTTTCACACTTTAGGTATATATGGAGAGTACCAAGATTTTGTTTCTAAAAGACTTTCACTAAGCCCCAGTTCTGTCATCTGTGAATAGGGTTAATACTACTACTTACCTTACAAAACTATTGTAACGAACAAATGAAACAATTAATGTGAAGTGCCTGCCATATCCCTGCACATGGTAAATGCTTAACAGATACTGGGTATTTTTAAAACAACTATACTCACCAATTGCCTTTACTGTGGCCCCTAGAAAGCTCCAGTCAATTGTAAAACTCAACACATTTTCAACCTCTTCATTGGGTATTTCCTCTACACCTAAAGAGTGACAAAGTTTGTCAACCCTATGTCCTAACCAGATGTCCAATCTGTACCTTCACTATCACTGCCTTAGTTGGGTCTCTCATCAATTTTTGCCAGGGTCAGTATGTCAGTGATAAGTATTTACTGACTGCAATTCATTGTGAAAGACAGATCAAACTCACTAGATGAGGAGGAGCGGCAGAAGCGGCTAGGGACAGGCTCGCATTCTAAGCAGAGAGAAAGCAATATGCAAAGGTATGCCACCCACCCCCACCAAGGAACTAACCTATTAGACAAGCCTGTCTGTGAGCATGGACTAATCCTGGATACCCGAAGGAGAGGGAGTTAGACAAGGAGGCAAGGACCAGGCTGAGCTGGGTCACGGTCTTGTGCACTGGACAGACACTTTTTTTAGTAACCAACGGGAGCTACAGAAGAATTCTTAGAGGTCGGTGGAAAGACTCTATCTGTGTTTTACAACAATCACTCAGGTGCAATGTGGTTAAAATGTACTCCGTGCAATGGCCGGGGAGTGCCAAGGCAGCACATAACTCCCAGCCCCTCAGAAGTTAAAAACCTCATTATGGAGTCAAGATTTAGACAGAGAGAAGTACTGAACAAGCAGTAGAACGATAATATTTAAATTACTGAAAAAGTATAAGAATTACAGCTGTTAGGGATAAATGTGTCACAGATATATGTCAGGAGAGACCTAAGTAAGAAGTGGGCCACAGGGGTTACTAAGGACGTGTAGGATACAAAGGCAGAGAAGAGAGAGGACATTCTAGGTAGAATAAACTGTTTAAACGATTTTGAATCAAATCCCAGCTAAGCATCATAATAATTAGACTCTCATCTTGCTTAATCTATAGGGACAGGGAAACAGAAGACAGTCAGCATTATAACAGTATTCCTGGAACTCACTAAACATAAAGCTGGCCAACAACATTACAAAAATAGTGAAGGGCAACTAAAAAGAAAAAACTAAAAGACAAGTACTCTAGATGACCTTGTATTTTTAAAACCCCTCAAAATTATCTCCATAGCTTAAGCCACAGGCCACACTGCAGAGATGCAACCTCTTCGTTCAGGGGCAAGGGTCCAAACTTTTAGCTTTCAGTAAGTCACTGTAAAGGGCTCCCCGTATGTCACTGTGCTGCTCCATTAGACTGGAGGCAGCGCAGGGCTTGCTTAGACAACAGCTTTACCTTTGGACCTGTTAATAGACATAGGTCAGACTCCCTTAGATGCACACTGGATCTCTGCACCGCAGAGACCTCAATAAAGACAGAGATCTGCGGGTTGAGGTTGGCTATCAGCCCCCTACTTCATCATCACTTTTTCTCACTCCCTTGGTTCTTTCTTTCTCTCTAAACTTATCCTTTTCAACTACTCCCCGTTTCTGTTGCTCCTTCCAATTCATTACTATTACAGAAAGGAAACTGATAAACTAAAAAGGTAATTGCGGCTCCCGCATTATGTCTTAGACGCTGTCATGATATTAACTCACTTGATCTTTAGAGCAATCCTATGTAGTAGGTACATCAACACCCTCATTTCATAGATGATAAAGCAGGTACTGTTTATCATCCATAGTGACGTAATGTGACCCAAGTCACTCAGCAAGAGTGGCAGAGTGAGGATTTAAAGTCAGGCTATCTGATTCTACGGTTTATCTACTTAGGCAAATGTAATTCTGCCTTTCATACTGAAATGCCACTTTATCCTTCTAAAGAATAAAAAATCCCTAGTTCTAATTAAACATTATAAAGTAGAACACAAACAAATTCTTGCTATTATATTATGGTATGTTCTAAACCCAGGCCAATAAAAAATCCAGTGATCATGTCATTGTACCACACAGTTGCTAGCAACTAAAACACGGTGGCTGGCCAACTCACATGACGGCCTCAACTCCAGAAAGATGCTTCAGAATCAGTATCTCTCTTTACAACAATTAGCATCTTTTCAAAAGGACTTATCCCCATGTCAAAAGTTAGGAGATGGCCGGGCACAGTGGCTCACACCTGTAATCCCAGCACTTTGAGAGGCTGAGGCGGGCAGATCACCTGAAGTCAGGAGTTCGAGATCAGTCTGGCCAACATGGCGAAACCCCATCTCTACTAAAAATACAAAAAATTAGCCAGGCATGGCGGTGCACACCTGTAGTCCCAGCTACTCGGGAGGCGGAGACAGGAGAATCACTTGAACCCAGGAGGTGGAGGCTGCAATGAGCCAAGATCATGCCACTGCACTCCAGCCTGGGCAACAGAACGAGATTCTGTCTTAAAAAATAGCGGACCAGGAGAACTAATGAGTTCAGTCTGTCACTTATTAGCTAAGTAATCAGTGGAAAAAGTCCTATAACCGAATGGATTTTAACGTAACTATTCATTTTTATAATGTAAAATATGGGGATAATAAGAATATTTACACTGTCCACACTAACTGAAGACTATCGGTCAAATGATATACATGTGAAAGCATTTTGGAATCTGATAAACAAAACACAAAAATCATTTCATTTTATTATTACTTCAGTTACCATCAATTCTCAATAAGGACTGTTCCAGAAATAGGGAAACACATCTATGCCCTTCATCTAAATCAATTTTAATGCCATAAGCAAATGAGTAATTACCTGGGATAAATACCAAGAGAAGATGATTCAGAGAACTTTGAGAACCTTGTGGAAATATAGTTCTGTTTCTGGGAATGAATAATGTACAGCTCAGTCCAGTATCAAAGAGTTATTGATGTATCTCAATGCAGTTTAAGACACATGTAAATGGAAAGAGTTGGGACAAAATAAATATACTAATGGGAATTTACAAATAAATCTAAGCATTATCATTCCTAATTTTGAGCCTTTTTAGGTGACTGAAGAGACTGCATGATAAGCTTAGTTATGGATGTCATGGGAAGCTGGACAGAAGGAAAACCAGAACCTAGGCCTCACGCACACAGCATGCACCTGTGCTTACACAATGCAGCAAAAAACACAAGTGTTTCAAGGGATCCACCATAAAAGGGATTGCCACACATCTAAAAAGCACGTGTGTATACGTGTGTGTGTGTGTGTATATATATATATATATATATATATATATATATATATATCCCTTCTCTTTAAGGCTTTGTGTTGTTAGTGATCACTTAATTTACTTAATGGTTAACTAAAACAGTATTTCACTTAAAGACTACATACATTCCTAAAGTCATATGAGGCTAAACATTTTCCTATTTTCAAGCTATCACAGTTTCTATTAGCATCTCAGAATTACTCTCATTTCATTATTTTCTAGTTTATTCTAATTATAACACAAAGAAGGCAAAAGAGGTAAATGGCAAAAGGGGGAGAAATGCCCCAATCATCACCCCGGCAACAGCAGGTTCATAACCCACTATGTGTATGTATCTCAGCCAAGGCCCAAGGAACACTTCGTATGTTTCTGGGGAAGAAAAATGCAAGTAAGGCCTGGCATGGTGGCTCATGACTGTAATCTCAACACTTTGGGAGGCCAAGGTGGGAGGATCGCTTGAGCCCAGGAGTTTGAAACCAGCCTGGGTAATAAGGCAAGACCCCATCTCTACAAAAAAAAAAAAAAAAAGAAAATTAGGTATGGTGGCTCATGCCTGTAATCCCAGATACTCAGGAGGCTGAAGTGGGAGGATTTCTTGAGGCCAGGAGTTGGAGGCCGCAGTTGAGAGCTATGATCATGCTACTGTACTCCAGCCTGGGTGGCAATGCAAGACTCTCTCAAAAAACCAACCAACCAACCCACCAAACACCCAAGTAAATGTTCTTGAGACCACATGCTACATTTATACACGTATATGTATGTATGGATATACGTATGTGTGTGTTACATATATATAAAAAACACCCAAGTAAATGTTCTTGAGACCACATGCTACATTTATACATGTATATGTATGTATGGATATATGTATGTGTGTTACATATACATAAAACACACCATTTTTTCACAACTCAGGACAAATTTTTGTGTTGTGAATCACTTAACAATAGCTTTGTAAGTTATTTTCTTGACGATTTTGCTATTCTTGGCTGTCACAGGTCTTGGGAGCTATTGTTTCCTGGGCATCTACTGAGGTCAGGTGCTCTGCATACACACCTTCATCTGACCTTCAGGACAGCCCTGGAGGGGAGGCGCGGTAATCTCCATTTTACAGATGAGGAAGGGCTCAGGGAGGGTGGGCAACAAGTCTAAATTATACCTCTACTAAGTAGCAGAGCTGGATCTGAATCCAGGTTTGCCTGACTCTAAAGCCCTCTCTATTAATCCCCAGGTATTTCTATTAATCAATTTTCAATCCCCAAATAACAACCTGAACTTTGAAATTCGTAGTTTCTACTGTTTCTTTAGAGTCCTCAGAAAGCTACTACGTGCAGGCACACAAAGTGATTATGACTAGATACTATAGGTATTATCCAAATGCATGTGCTTATCAAACTTCAAATCTAGTAATAGAGAATAATTCTTTAAATCACCATATAAAGTCCAGACTTTTGGGCAAGAAAGGTCTTACATTGATATTTTCTAATTGTAGTAGATGTACTGTATAATACGACTTCACATCTTCTGACAAGAGCTTCACACTGAATCCTGTTTCTTTAAACAGCATCTCTTGGTCATCTGTTGGCCAGTACTGTGCACATTTGACCTAAATTTAGAAATATGTATATGTTTTTTTTAGTTTATAGACATCATGAAACCATAAAGTTAAAAAATGAAAACAAACCACACATGTACATGTTATATTTTTTCAAGTACCCAAAACTAAGAAGCCACTACTATATTCTGCGCTTAATGTATTTTAGTAAGATTGAAATTTTACAGCCGGGTGTGGCTCGCGCCTGTAATCCCAACACTTTGGCAGGCTGAGGCGGGAGGATTACCTGAGGTCAGGAGTTCAAGACCAACCTGGCTAACACGGTGAAACCCCATCTCTACTAAAAATACAAAAATTAGCTGGGCACTGTGGCGGGCGCCTGTAATCCCAGCTAGTCGTGAGACTCACCTCCTAAGCAGCTGGGATTACAGGCACCTGCCACTACACCCAGCTAATTTTTGTATTTTTAGTAGAGACAGGGTTTTGCCACGTTGGCCAGGCTGGTCTTGAACTACTGACCTCAAGTGAGCCACCCACCTCAGCCTCCCAAAGCGCTAGGATTACAGGCATGAGCCACCGCGTCCGGTCTTATAAGGCATTTTTAAAGTGTTTCTGTAACGTATAAACTAAAAAAGCCACAGATATCATATTCATAAAATAAAAATTATCATTTTTAAAGCATGATTACCTATATTTTTAACGTCAGGACATTCACTTTATGTTTCTAAAATTATCAAACCCTTGTAATAATTTTATCTTCAAAATAAATGTTGCTGGCCGGGCATGGTGGCTCATGCCTGTAATCCCAGCACTTTGGGAGGCTGAGGCGGGCAGATCATGAGGTCACGAGATTGAGACCATCCTGGCTAACACAGTGAAACTCCTCCGTCTCTACTAAAAATGCAAAAAATTAGCCAAGTGTGGTAGTGGGCGCCTGTAGTCCCAGCTACTAGGGAGGCTGAGGCAGGAGAATGGCGTGAACCCGGGAGGCGGAGCTTGCAGTGAGCAGAGATCGCACCGCTGCACTCCAGCCTGGGCAACACAGCAAGACTCCGTCTCAAAAAAAAAAAAAAAATGTTGCTGAAGAGGCTTTATTTTACAAGTATTTTCCACAAATGCCTATGAATCTACTACTCAATATTCCATCTAAGGCCAGGCACATGTGACTCACGCCTGTAATCCTAGCACTTTGGGAAGCTGAGGTGGGTGGATCACTTGAGCCCAGGAGTTTGGCCTGGGCAACAGCGTGAAATTCAGCCTGGACAACATGGCGAATTCCTGTCTCTACGAAAAATACAAAAAATGAGCTGGGTGCGGTGGCGCACTCCTATAGGCCCAGCTGCTCGGGAGTATGAAGTGGGAACATGACCTGAGCATGGGCAGTCGAGGCTGCACTGAGGCTGTGCCACTGCCCTCCAGCTTGGATGACAAAAGTGAGACCCAGTCTCAAAACAAACAAACAAAAAAATGACATTTAGAAATTAACATTGTGTATTTGCTTACTAAAATTAAACTGGGGGAGAGAATGAGAAGATAAGCCCCTTTTACCTAGAGTTTGGCAGAACTACTGATATGAAATTCAAATCCGTGACAATAAACATATCTTCCCAAATGCCAAAGTATGAAGCCAGCAGACTGAAGCAAGGCAAAATAGTCATTTCGGTAGGACAAAAATACCAGAAAAAAATATTTTTAAAAAATGGCCATTTCTCCTTTTCCAAATAACAGCTACAAACAATAAAAACATCTCCCAAACCAATAAACACTATGAATTAATTCTTTAAAAGGTGTTAAAAGACAAACAAAAAATGATATAAGAAGTAAAAGACTAAAAATTAGAACAACTCAGAAACAAGATAGAAGATGGAAAAGTTCAAATAACAGAACACATCATTTCAGAAATGAGGATTAAACCGGAAGGAAGAGAGAACTAAACACAATAGATAATAATGCCTTAAGAGGAAAACAATTTTTTTTTTTAAAGAGACAGGGTCTTAAGAGCTCTGTAGCCCAGGTTGGAGTGCACTGGGGTGAACCTGGCTCACTTCAGCCTCAATCTTCTGGGCTCAAGTGATCTCCCAACCCCAGCTGGCACTCCAGGTGCATGTCACCGCACCTGGCTACTTTTTGTATTTTTTGTAGAGGTAAGGTCTCACTTTGTTGTCGAGGCTGGTTTTGAATTCCTGGGCTCAAGGGACCCTCCTGCCTCAGCCTCCCAAAGTGCTGGGATTATAGCTGTGAGCCCTCAAACCTGGCCAGAAAAAACAAATCTTTTTTAAGTAAAACAGAAATAGATAAACAGGATAAGAGAATGTGACGAACAAAAAAGACAGGCAAAGAAAATCCAACATATGTATAATAGGAAGACCCAAGAGGAACATTAAAGCAAGCAAGGGGGCAGAACAAATACTAAGGACTGTAACTCAACAAATATTTCTTTAACAAAAAGTATTTAAAAACTAAGAAAAAAGTACTCGAAGTCAAACACTCAATAAGACATCGTGTACCTGTAAAAACTGACCAAGAATGGCCAATCACTAAGACATATTTTTGGTAAAACGAATAATACCTGAGGAAAAAGAAAAAAGGAATTTATTGGGTAGTGTAGATAAAAAGAACAAGAGACTTATAAAGGAAATAAGATGTCCATTAGACTTTGGTGGAAGACCAGAAGGAAACGGAAAAATGTTTAAGCTGTTCAAAGAATAGCACGTGAGTCAAGGATTTTATATCCCGCCAAACTGACTTTCAGATATTAAGACAGCAGATGAACCATCAGTGACATGTAAAAAAATTGGAGACTATAACGCTCGCAAGTCCCTCCTTAGGATCCACTAGAGAATGAGCTGTAGTCAGAGTGACTGGGGAGACATCAAGACAGACTGTTGATGAATATTAACTAATGCTTGCTTACAGAACTAAGAGTCTACAAGGGATATAAGGGAGAGACTTACATTTGTAAACCACAACTCAGAAACATCAGGAAGAGAAAAAATATTAAAAATTGTAAACCATTTTCAGTAACTATTTTGGTAGTAGATGATATCATGATTATGGCTATGTTTTGTATGTGATATGGGAAGAAGGAAATGATCATTACAAGATAGCTTGTATCTCTCATCTCTTTGAGAACCAGGATTATTGGTATGAAAAAGGAAATAGCAGATATAAGATGGAAGGGGCTAAGCAGCCCTTATAGCTCCAAATTTAAATTGGAAATATTATGAACCCTTAAAGTAGGTTATCTTAACATATACATATTGTTCCTTAGCTTTTGTCCACTGAAAAGCCCTAAAAACAATGACCAGTCCAGTAGCAACACATATCCTTATTTTTGCTGTGACCTTGAAATACTACCGCCCATTAAAAGAAACCAAAGCTCCGCAGAGAAATGGCTGGCTTCAGGTCTGGGCAGCAAGCGTTCGAGATGAGCCTGCAATATGCAGTCATTACAGATAGCAAGAAAAAAAAAAATTTTTTTTTTGAGACAGGGTCTCTCTCTGTCACCCAGGCTGGAGTGCAGTGGCAGGATCACTGCAGCCGTCTTCCTGGCCTCAAGCGATCCTCCTGCTTCAGTCCCCCAGGTAGCTGGGACTACAGGCATGCGCCACCACGCCCAGTTAATTTTTGTATTTTTTGCAGAGACAGAGTTTCACCATTTGCCCAGGCTGGTCTCAAATTCCTGGGCTCAAGCAATCCACCTAACTCCCCAAAGTGCTGGGATTACAGGTGTGAGCCACTGCACCCAGCCAAGGAAACTATTAAAAGGTTTGTTAAAAAGGACTCAGGGCTGGGTGAGGTGACTCATGCTTGTAATCCCACCACTTTGGGAGGCTGAGATGGGCAGATCACTTGAGGTCAGGAGCTTGAGACCAGCCTGGCCAATATGGTAAAACAGTCTCTACAAAAATTAGCCACATGGTGGTGGGTGCTTGTAATCCCAGTTACTCGGGAGGCTCAGGCGGGAGAATCGCTTGAACCCAGAAAGTGGAGGTTGAAGTGAGCCGAAATCATGCCACTGTACTCCTGCCTGGGCAACAGAGCGAGACTCCATCTCAAAAACAAAAAGGACTCAGGACCCAACCTAAAGAGATTGCTGCTGGCCAACGACAGGATAATTTGATCAAAAATAAGGAAAATAACTGCAAAGGAGTAAAATGAACCCAATATGTCTAAACCCATAATAATTCATCCTCTCCTGCCACTCTCCACCAGAAAAACTCCTAATTGGTCATCTGTTGAGGACAGATGACCTCAACAGGGAATCCACTGTTTTTGTAAAACTGCTTTTAAAAGAAGTAATGACAGAACTGGATTATCACCATCTGTAACCCATAACGAATTAAGAAGCTGAGCACTGACCAATAATGGCTGTTAATAAAAATAAAAAGAACAATAATCAGACATTATGGGTCTCTTGATGAATAGCACATTACTCACCACCTCTGAAGTAATCTTCCCCAAAATAATTAAACCTGACACTGGTTAACCATCCAGGTCCGACCACCATAAACATGATTTCTAAATTCTGGTGGCAGTGTTATCTTATTAATACAGTAATTATACTCTAAAATGAGAAAAATGAAATTTGCAAATCATTTAGTCTGCAATGCTGCTCAAACTGACAATGTCATAATCCTTAATTTTTTTTTTTTTTTTTCTGAGATGGAGTCTCACTCTACCGCCCAGGCTGAAGTGCAGTGGTTTGGAGATAGAGTCTCACTCGACCATCCAGGCTGGGGTGCAGTGGCACAATCTCGGCTCACTGCAACCTCCACCTCCTAGGTTGAAGCGGTTGTCCTGCCTCAGCCTCCCAAGTAGCTGGGACTACACTCGGCTAATTTTTGTATTTTTGGTAGAGACGAGGTTTCACCATGTTGGCCAGGCTGGTCTCAAACTCTTGCCCTCAAGTGATCTGCCTGCCTCAGCCTCCCAAAGTGCTGGGATTACAGATTTGAGTCACTGTGCCTGGCCTAATCCCTAATTTTTAAATGATACTGAAGATCAGGAAAAATCACTGTAAACGACTATGCTGACACTGCCGGAAATTCTGGCATGTCATTGCCACATCTGATTAGAAGTGGATTAGGAAATTTTCATCATCAGTAAAAACCAGCAATTATGAAATGTAGAATAAAGTAAGAAATCTGAAGTAGAACAGTACAAGATCTTAAAGCTGGAAGAGGGCTTACTGACAACAGGTCAATAAGGATTCCTAGGGATCCCAAAGATCTATATATCACTGCTGGTCAGTACTTATTCCATTATATTTCTATCTTGGAGATGAAAAGTCTGCAATTGTTATATAAATACTTAAAATAAGAAAGGAAAAGGATAAATGAGTTTTTCTGGACAGAAACACTTTGACCACTAGCCTTTAGCAGTTAAAGGCCAAAACTAAGGAATGAATATTGGCCCCAAAATGAAAATCTTTATATGCTAATGATCACATGCAGTATACTAAGCTGTAAATATTAAATATTACTCACCGATTCTTTCTCCACAATGCGGTTCAGCATGACAACTGCTTTGGTCTTCTGCTGCCAAACCATAAGCCAGAAATGGCAGCATGTGTTAGGAAGTGGACCCTGTGAGGAGAGAGGAGAAAGAGCAGATGAGGGAAGCAGACAGAAAGAGCAAGGCTCCAGGAAGGCCTCATCAAGTCTGCTCCTGGGATGTTACAAGACAGACAGTGGATGGGCTTATAAGAAGTAAACCAAGACTTCCAATCCACCTGATTTCAAAACCAGGTCTGTGCTACTTAGGATTTTTGGTTGTAAATTATCAAAATTGACTTTTATTTTCTTAGGCAAAAAAGGAATTAAGATATCAGGTGGCTTTCAGAGCTGAGGACTAGAGAGCCAAGCTTGGGGAGGAACCAAGGGTTGAGGCACAAGCAAGGTCCTGCCACAAAGAAAGTCAACCTGGGATGCTGCTCTTGATACTGTCACTACTATTCCCTTGCTTTTGCTGGCACTGCCATATGAAGGTGGCTGTAGTATTCATAAACAATCTATAGGCAAACCAGAGACAAAATCACAAGTAGGAGTGTCTGACAGATCATGTTCCAGCTGCAAAGAAGGTAGACAAAGGAAATTTCTGTCCTCTTCATCTTCCACAGTCAAATGACAGGACCTGCCTCCCACACATCATAGAAGATCCACGAGAAAAAGTCCACTATCACTGGCCAGCCAATCAACTCAAGTCAACTACAAGAAGATTTCTAGAAAAAGTAGGAATCATTCAAGTACCTGAACCACAATGAAACTGTTAATCTACAAATGCACAGTATGTATGGCCTCAATGGAAGAGTATTGGGCAGAGTCAAAAAGGGGCAACAGTCCATGTTACAACAATGCCATGGGGACAAAAGCAAAATATTTCATGTATTTCCAATTGCTTTCACATTTTAATGATAGCATAGGGTAAAAGAAAGGACTAGTAAGAGATGAAAAGCCTATGTACAAATTTTAACTAGTTTTAAACGAGAAGGTTAAAATGAGATGTAGTTTTGCTACACCTAAAATAACTCTGAATATGCGTTCAACTCACATGGAATGTAGCAGAGTGGGAAGAGTTAGGGGCAGAGTCAGGAGTGGGGGCTAGGGCTGCCCAGAGCTTCAGACCCACGTGCAACAAGGGGGTCAAAGTGTTTCTAGACTAAAAGCATTTTTTATTTTTTGAGATGGCGTCTCTTGTCACCCGGGCTAGAGAGAAGCGTCGCGATCTCAGCTCACCGTAACCTCCGCCTCCCAGGTTCAAGAGATTCTCCTGCCTAAGCCTCCCATGGAGCTGGGATTATAGGCGCCCAACACCACACCTGGCTAAATTTTGTATTTTTAGTAGAGACAGGGTTTCATTATGTTGGCCAGTTTGGTCTCGAACTCCTGACCTCAAGAGATCCACCTGCCTCGGCCTCCCAAAGTGCTGGGATTATAGGTGTGAGCCATGGTGCCTGGCCGACTAAAAGCATCTTTAGGCCCGGTGTACTCCTTAGTATGTGGCAGATACTCAATAAATATTACTTAAATGAATAAACCAAAGTTAAGTTGTAAAAATGCTAGAAGTCTAGTGAGGATCCCGACAAACTACAACCTAGTATTTGAGAATAGCGTTTTCTTCACTCAACTTGTTTTTCTATTACTTGATCTACTTCCAAAACAAAACACAGTCTAGAGGTAAAAACAGCAATGAGGAAATCCCCAGTAAAATGAATGCCTTTTTCTTTATTTAAAAAAAAAAAAAATGGATGTAGCAATTTGCCAGTGAGGTCACTCCTTGGTGTATACACACAATCACATCCCATGCCATTCCACTGGTGATTCTAAAGACTAAATAATAAACAGGAACATAGCTGCTATAGTATAAAGAACACTGGTTTTTCTTTTTTCGAGATGGGAGTCTTGCTCTGTTGCCCAGGATGGAGTGCAATGGCACCATCTCAGCTCACTGCAACCTCTGCCTCCTGGATGCAAGCAATTCTCCCTGCCTCAGCCTCCTGAGTAGCTGGGATGACAGGCGTGCACCACCATGCCCGGCTAATTTTTGTAGTTTTAGTAGAGACGGGGTTTTACCACGTTGGCCAGGCTGGTCTCAAACTCCTGACCTCAGGTGATGATCGCCTGCCTCAGCCTCCCAAAGTGCTGGGATTACAGGCGTGAGCCACTACACCCAGCCACAGGTTTTTAAATCAGAGGGACAGAGATTCACATCTCAGCTCTTCTATTTACTAGCAATGCTACCAATTTTCTTCATCTGCAAAACAGACATAATACACCAAGGAGGTGATTTTTAAAAAAATACTAATTCATAAAACTCAGAAGAAAAAGATGACTGAAACAATAATCTACAAAGGACAATCAGAAGAGCTGGGGTAATAAGCATTTTGCATCTCTAGTTTTCTGTATCCTCCATTCTAAACAACCTGCTAGGTGCAAGGTCAAGAGCTAGACTGAGATGCAGTCTTGGCTCTTGAAGAGCTTGCACAGGTGGCAAGGAGAAATACTTGTATGACTAATGGACACAGTTAAGTACCACAAGAATATGAGTAAATTAAACCCAGGTTTTAGGGAGCAGCAAAGGCTGAGAAGGAAACTACAGAAGAGCCTCAAAAAAGGTCCTAATACAGAGAGGGAATGCAGAAGAATGGGAGGCAGTTAGGGTCCATTCCAGGCCCTCTAAGCATAAGGCAAAGTGCATGAAAGTTTAGGGCATATTTGGGAAAGACAAATAAATCAGTGAAGTGGAAGTGGAGGGATGCAGTCGGCAATTACACCAGTAGAGTGACAAGGATGGTGGCAAGGGGAGACCTTAAAAAGCTGCTGCAATAGGACAGGTGTAACTGAAGAGAGCTCTGAAAAAAGGGAGGGGCAACAGAAGATCAGAAAGAACGTGGCAGACAATGAGGACAGTTTCAATCCCAATGAGAAACATAGGAAGGCAGCTGCCTTGGTAAAAAAGATAGAAAACGTGCAGATTTTGAAATCCAGTAAAAATATCCAATAGAGACCTGACAAATATAGAGAGGAACTCAGGAGAGAACAAAAAGCCAGACACAGGCTTCTGAGTTCTCGCATTAAATGTGCAGGGCTCCTTCAGGACACACACAGCGACAAGAAGTTCAAAAACAGTCACTAGGAGGCTGGGCGCGGTGGCTCACACCTGTAATCCCAGCACTTTGGGAGGCCAAGGCAGGTGGATCATCTGAGGCCAGGAGTTTGAGACCAGCCTGAGCAACACGGTGAAACCCCGTTCCTACTAAAAATACAGAAAGTAGCTGGGAGTGGTGGTGAGCACCTGTAATCCCAGCTGCTCGGGAGGCTGAAGCACAAGAATCACTTGAATCTGGGAGGCAGAGGTTGTGGTGAGCTGAGATCACATCACTGCACTCCAGGCTGGGCAACAGAGTGAGACTCCATCTCAAAAAAAAAAAAAAAAAGTTATTTAATATCTCTGGATCTCCTTAGATTCCTTGTGTATAAAGTAAAGGTAATACTATTTACCACAGAGGGTTGTCTTAAGGTTTAAATTATACAAAGCATGTAAAAACACTATTACAAAATTATTAACTGTTATTCATTTTATTTCCCACTAGAATGTAAAATTCCTAACAGTAGGGTTTTAACAAGTCTGTTTTATTGAAACAATGCCTGCCACAGAGTAGGTCTCAGTAAGTCTTTGCTGGGTCAGTGAATACCCAATGAAATGCTGGCACCAAGATTCAAGCACAGGTACCATGACAGTAGTCTACCCTACCTTAGGTTACAAAGGTTAAAACCATGGTCTTAAAGGGCTGTAGTGCAGACTGGAGGGAAGAAAAAAAAAAAAAAGGCTAATTTAGAATCTTGAGAAAGACTAGGAAGAGAACAAAAAACAAAAAACAAAAGAAAAGGAGAAAAAGGGTACAGAGGGAGAGAGTGTGGTGATAAGGGATCTAGGGTGGAAATTCTTCTCTATTTTGTAATGTTATTACTTGTTCCTGGAGATACACAGGGGACTGGTTCTAGGACCCAATCCGCCCCTACCCACTGCAGGATACCAAAATCCACACATGTCCAAACCCCACTGGTGGCCCTGCAGAACCTGCAGATACACAGTCAGCCCTCTGTATGCATGGATTTCACATCTCATGAATACCGTATTTCCAACCCGTTTTTGGTTGAAAAAAATTTGCCTGTAAGTGGACTAGTACAGTTCAACCCTGTGTGGTTCAAGGGTCAACTGTAGTTATTTCAAACAGAAAATAAAATTTTTAACTCTAAACAGTAGTTTAAAATACGAATGCACATTTAAAAAAACTTCTAATATTACAGAAAGGAAGAAAATGGAAAATTAAAGTCTCTATTCCCCAGCTCCAAAAATAACCACTAACGGTGTATGTATGATTAACTTCTTTAGCCAGTCCCTTACAGATTGCTTGAGTCTGATGTGTTAAAATAAGACTGCAATGAACATGATCACATATGTCTTTTTTTTTTTTTTGGACAGAGTTTTGCTCTTTTGCCCAGGCTGGAGTGCAGTGGTGCTATCCTGCCTCACTGCCACCTCCAACCCCCAGGTTCAAGCGATTCTCCTGCCTCAGACTCCTGGGTAGCTGGGATTATAGGTGGCCGCCACCACACCCAGCTAATTTTTGTATTTTTAGTAAAGATGGGGTTTCAGCATGTTGGCTAGGCTGGTCTCAAACTCCTGATCTCAGGTGATCCATGTGCCTCAGCCTCCTAAAGTGCTGGGATTACAGGCGTGAGCCACCACGCCTGGCCTATCATGTATGTCTTTATGTCTGACTGTATTTCTCTAAGTAGACTTTCTTGGTCAGTCAGAGTATTTGAAGACTGAGTACTACACACTTCGAAATCTCTCCTGTTCTGACAGGGGAAAGGCCCATTCCCTGGTTGCTGAATGAAGGGAGCATCTCTTCAAGTGCAAGGGGTCCACCTTTGTTTCGTTCTTTGAACTAGGAGTTTATGTCCTATGCCAGTTTTTTCCATGGGCTGTTTTTCTATTTTTGACTTGCAGGAGCTGTATTACCTCAAGTAAAATAATGCATTTTAGTTTCCTTTGAACTGATGTAGTCTAATAGCTCATAGTTACATTAATCTGCCTATCTTTTTACTTATCAAACATTTTTCTCTTTCAAGTAAATCATTCTGATTCGAGTTACGTTTTCAAAAATATCAAATACTATGGTGTATCTCTTGAATATTTAAAAATCTTTAGGGGGAAGTGACAGCACCATTAATCAAGTCTTTATTACTTGATGAATAAAGAGTAGCTGTGGATACACAAAAATCTCTCCCATTATCTCAGAATGGAATGAAAATCATGCTTGCACACAGGTGTGGCTGATGTGCTCAGAGGCAACTGGACAGAAGGCCAAAGGGAGCACAAGGCCTTGCAGCTGGGCCTCTGGAACACCTGGTCTCAGCACCTGCACAGGTCCTCAACGACGACCGTACACCATCCAGGGCTTGGCGTACTCTCTGAAGATATATGCGAGGCAGGGGGAGCTACAGAAGAGGCGTCTAGGGCCTCTGGTTTTGCCACAGGGTATGAGAAGAGAAACAGAAGATGCTAAGAAGCATTTGCAGAGCTCTGTGTCAGATATAATGTAAGGAACAACCTGCCCAAAGAACTGGCCTAAGCCATTTCATAACAATTTTCCTTCACAGAATGTGTAATATTAAAAATAACTTGCCTTTTATCTTAAATACTCAAAGCTTCAAAACTTTATAACGTCCAAAATTCATTACATCGTCAGAAAAAACTGAAATACCATTTCATTTCCAAAAGAAGTCAAGATATACTTTTCCCTATGATTTAAAGCAGAACAACCACAAACATATCATTTTCAGACATTTGCTTGGTATCGTACTACTTGCCTGTGTTAAGATGTAACTCCTTTGTGCCTCTTCTATGTCAACTAAACTGGCATTAATATAATCATTCTCAGCATTCTGCAGTTTAACACGGCTGTGATCATCTGAAAACAGAGAATGATAAACCACAACTGTCATTTCAAACTTACTGTTTTCTTATCTTCATATTAATATTCTAGGTATTTACAAAAGGATAGAAGAAATAAGAAACATGGATTAGCATCATAAGAGAGTTGAGACAAATCCTAAACTATTCTCTACTTTTGTTTAAGAACTATAAAATGTAATCTTGTTTGTTACTATAGTGCTGGAAGGGAAGTGCTTCTGTTTGTAGCACATTAGCCATTGTGACTTGAAAAATCGAACAGAAGTAAACACAGTTAAATGAATAAAGTACTTACCTTCCTAAAAGTAAAAGGATCATTGAGATTCTTGGTACCTAAGAACTGACTGGTCTACCTACAAAACGGTAACTGGTCTCAAACAGACGAGACTACATTTCCGAGGTTACTATATTTCACTCTCTTCGTCGCTCAATAGATAAGAATTCCGCTATAAATACATTTTAGCACTGAACTGTGTTTAGGTTAAATGCTGAAAATATTTACAGACAGTTGGAATATTCCAACTGAATTTTTTAAAAGGCCACTGAAGATACTTCACTACTTAGACTCTGTTAACAGTTTAGAGATATTTCTAGTTTTTAAAAGTAAAAATCTCATAGATTGAGAATTTATGCTAATTTAAATATGTGAAATACAAAATGTGACCTTATACATTTAGATGGAAAAGGAAGACAAGCATGACACCAGGAGAAAAAGCCCATGAATTAACTCAGAATCCTCAACACACAACTGCCGGATGCATATCACTGAGTTATAAAACTAAAAACATGGTGTTTGATGTTTAACTCTAGAGAATGCATACTATTACAAGTTGTCCCCTCAAAGAAATCCATACTAAATAGCCAGTCTCTCTTTACTTTTAAACGAAAACACTGTTTCTATTATCCCCATATGAAAGGAAATGTAAAATGGCTTTAGTTTCACACATCAATTTATCTGAGATGTTTCTGCTGGACTAAACCCAAGACCTCTGTAAATATTACATGTCATTTGCCAACAGGAAAAACTGAGATCTTGTTATAGTAAATCACATACACTAGTGTTCTCGGAAAGATGATGTCAACAAGCACTTTTTAAAAAATCACTTTTTTTTTAACAGTTTAATCACCCTTTAACTGTTATATTATGTAAAACAGTAAAAAGCTCAGCAACCTAATTAAAATAAAGACCACATATCTCCTAGACAACATATCAAAAAAATAATGCCTGGTTTTAGAATGCTACATGATTTTAAAATTAAAGTTCCACGAAAATATCACACCAGAGGAATGTATTTCCTCATGTTGTAATCACAGAAAGAACACAAACCAAAGGCTACTCATATCTATTGCACAACTGAAAACAGCCATTTGGCTAACATGCGGTAGGAATCCATAAAACCCAGGAAGGTCTACCTCACAGGGTGCTGGGAATCTGGTTACCCCACATGGCACCACCCCACACCTTTGCCCAGCTATGGAGGAAGTAAACCTAGAGAAAGACCTTCAGCCAGAGTATTTGATACCTCACCCTCAGGACTCTGAACTAAAATTCACTGTTACTTTCCTTCAATCTGTAAAATATGCACCAGGGGTTACCTCAATGCTCTATAAGCACCGTAACCACAAACCAGAAAGGCCCAGATGCAGTCCTGGGGGGCAGTATGGAGGAGGGCACTACCTGCAGGGCACTGGGTCTGCAGGGCTCAGCCCCTGGCAGCAGCCTCGCTTCCTATTTCACATTAATTTATAGAGTCAACAAAAGAAAAGGAACAGTGAATTTTCTCAGGATTTTTTTTTAAATTTTGTTATCAGATAATACTAAGAAAGGTAATCCTTGGGAAAACTCTATAGCTATTTACAACTACAAATGTTATTTGAGCCTACATTTTCTTCCCAAGGCTGATTAAAAACAAAACTCAAATACCTGCATCACTAGATATTATTTTAATTCTTCTGTTCTATTAAGAAAAATACATATGAAGGAAAAATGAAAAACACTTTAAAAAGAAAAATCTTAAAGCAAAAGAGAAATAAAACTTTAAAATAAATTAAAAATATATTAAAATTACAAAAAACAAAAATTTAAAAAGATTAATATAAAATTAAAAGCATATATAACTTTTTGATTTAGAAGAGGCTGTAGAGACAAAAATTAACTAAAACACATCACCTTAAAATAACTATTGCAAAAGATTGTGAATATACACATTTCAGGAAGTGAAACTATGAAAGCCTTTTTATGAGAAACTGTGACTTTATAATTCATACTCTTCAGTGAAGATAACGAAGAAGGGCACTGCCTCTTCTCCAGTTAAGGATCATAACACATATTTCCGAGTTTGTGAGCGCACACACAGGTTCCCTGACAACCTGAGTCACAGGTCTCTTTACCCTGCCCAGATACTATCAGTCGGCTAGCTCCAAATCTGTAAACGAATCATTAAAAACCATTAAAAATCATTGAAAACTTTTGACTTCTGAATGAGAACACACAGAAAGGTACATCTCCTCTTCCACAGGAACCTCTGAAATGAGATTATCGTGACAGCAGCATCCCATAACCTTTGGGCTACAGGAGTCCCAAAGCCCACAGTACTCTACCAACATTGTAAGTCTGGTTATCTCACCCTTTCCTATCTTTTAAAGGATCCAATAAACGGAGAAAAATGAACATAGTTCAAACTCTTTTGCATGAGATACCACAAAAACAACCAAACCACACTTCACAGGAAATCTTATTTCTCAACCTCTACTAGCACCAGTAGCAGAACTATCAAGAACACACACTTTTTTTTCTACAGGCATCATCTGCCTTAATTCTTGTCACTGAGTGAATGAAGAAATGCAATACCCAAAAAGAACTGTGGTTTATAACTTGGATAAAAATTAAGCCAATTTCTGACAAGGAGTCCCTTCACCTCCTACCCTTAAACAGCGTGTTTTCTGAGAAACAGCTCCACCTCTCAAGAAATGACTAGTGCTAGCTGTGGCTATGCTGACAATACAGATTAGTTTCCTCTTTCAATACTGTCATCAGAAGCTCTTAAAAAAAAAACCCACAGGTTTCACCAAATATATCATTATTGTAAAGACATCTCCTTTTGGAAAGTTTTCCAGGTCAAACAGAAAGGAGAATTTGTATTCATTGTAACTGGTTACAATTCATCCTCAACAAGTTACATCACACCAAAGATCAAGCATCCTTAACTTACAAGTCAGGCAAGAAGATGACCAATTCTAATAGTACAGCGTGAATCAGTGACTTTTCCCTTTTAGATTTTCCCATTCTCAACTAAGGGTAATCAGTACGTTTTCAAATAGTGATGTCCAAGAACTCAAAGCATTTTCTAGATATGTCAACTCTCTTCAATCCTGCAAGTAAAATGGTCGAACAACAAATATTATGCGTTCTCTCTCATAAACTGAGCAATGAGCCAAAAACATAGCTAGCACTAAACACCAGGTTACCATATACTCCCCCATATTAACGGAGAATACAAACCTTAGTACATGTAGAATATTAACTTTTCAATTGTTTGCTCTGCAAAGAAAGTTTCACTTGATGAAAGGTTTCTAACTGACCACAAAACCAACCAGAACCACTGTCTAGAATCATTTGGTGCCTACGACATGTCACGTTTGTGTGACACTAGTCATTAGGTCACCTCTCTCAGTCCTCACAGCCCTATGAAGTGCACATGAATATGGACCACACCCATCTCACAGTCACTCAGGGAAGTAAAGTCATCGCCAGTGTAACACACTAGAACACAAAAATGAAACCTAGGTTTGTGCAAGTTAAGAGATTCCACATTTCCTGCATTCTGCATTCCCTGTCTCCCTGATCCATCCAGCTGGTGTCTTTACCATCCTTTCTATACATCCTAAATTCTTGCTGACATCACCTTTCACGCTGCTCTCCACTCAGGTGTGATTTCCAACTCCTCTCTCACATAAACCCCACTTCTGTGACGACGCAGTCCATGACATATCTTCTCTAACTAGACTCTCTGATGAAATGCCTCCACGATGAACTGGTGTGTTCCCTGCATTGAACACTTTCAGTAATCATACACAATTTTTAGTCAACAAATATATTGTAACCTATAGGGATCTAAAGGTAAGACATCATTTGTTTGAAGCTTTTAAAAAGGAAAAAAGAAATTCTATCAGGCGGTGACTCTGAGTACTGACACTTTATTGCATAAAATACCATGGGAAGCAGCTTGAGCAGCTGCTACCTGAATAGGCCTAGTGAGATCAGCAGGAAGCGGAAATTCCAGCAGAGGACACATCATAAGGAGGAATGACAGGGAACGGTGTAGTGTGCAGCACTGGCAAATTCAGAAAGGCTGACGAGCTAGCTAGAAAGAGGGGTCCCCAAACACATTAAGGGCAGACCCTGAAGGGCATGTGGCTGTGCTACAGGCACAGGCTCTGGACAGGGCCCCAGTAAAGTTATTATTATTATTTTTTTTGAGACGGAGTCTCGCTCTGTTGCCAGGCTGGAGTGCAGTGGCGTGGTCTCGGCTCACTGAAACCTCCGCCTCCTGGGTTCAAGCGATTCTCCTGCCCCAGGCTCCTGAGTAGCTGGGACTACAGGCGCCTGCCACCTCGCCCGGCTACTTTTTGTATTTTTAGTAGAGATGGGGTTTCACCATGTTAGCCAGGCTGGTCTTGAACTCCTGACCTCGTGATCCACCCGCCTCGGCCTCCCATAGTGCTGGGATTACAGACGTGAGCCAATGAAGTTCTTTAAAGGACTGGTGTAAACACATTTGATTTTTACGAACATAACTCTCAGCAGCATATAAGATGGACTGAATCAGGACGAAGGCAACTTCATACACCAATACACTGAAAGCTTAATCAAGAGGTGATGAGGCCTGAATCAGGTAGTGGCAGTGGGAATGGAAAGAGTATTTCCAAGGAAGCACCATCACAACCTTGCTAATAAAGTATACGTTGTTTAGGAAACATTTGTAAGTTCAACCTTTTCCAAACAATAGTTTACTGTCCTTGAAATTGTCAGTGTCTTTCAATCCATCATGATTTCAAGATCCTAAAGTTGCCAGGACAATGTCACTAAATTCTGATTCCACAAATCTCCTAATTGAAAAAGTCCTCCTTAATCTGTCCCCAAGAGTCTGCAATGAAAAGAATACCTGAAAAGTGTCTTTACAAAATAGGTAAAATTCATTAGTTTGGAAAACGGACATTTTTCCTCTTTGGTAGCTTGTATAAAATAAGGCATACTAATCTTCACTTTAAAATAATCATTAAGTATCTCACCATTTTTTCTTCTTTCTTTCTTTATTTTTTTTTTTTTTTGAGACGGAGTTTTGCTCTCGTTGTCCAGGCTGGAGTGCGGTGGCGCGATCTCGGCTCACTGCAACTTCCGCCTCCCAGGTTCAAGCGATTCTCCTGCCTCAGCCTCCCGAGTAGCTGGGATGACAATTCTGTGCCACCACGCCTGGCTAATTTTGTATTTTTAGCAGAGACGGGGTTTCTCCATGTTGGTCAGGCTGGTCTTGAACTCCTGACCTCAGGTGATCTACCTGCCTCGGCTTCCCAAAGTGTTGGGATTACAGGAGTGAGCCACAGCGCCCAGCAGTATTGCACCATTTTCTTTGAAACTCAGACTCTCTGCTTCTAGGAGAGATAGAACCTAAACAAATTGAGGGTAGAGGGACTTAGGGGAAAGGATTTTACTTTCATCACATCCAAAGGCCCATGAGACACCATGCAAACAATGTGGACCAAATATCTATAATCGGTGATATAGCATTAAGCATAAAGTACATGAGTAATAAATGCTACAAAAAAAGGTAGAGTAACGGGATTCACAGCACTGGGGAGAGGGGCAGACTGCAATTCTAAACAGGGTGGTCAGGATCGGCCTTGTGACTGACTACCCAGGTGGGTCACATGTAAGCACAGATGTGGAAGGGGTCAGTCTCACGGATATTTTAGTTAACAGTGTTCCAAGCACAGAGAACGGCCAATGCCTTAAGGTGGTACATACCTAACACGTCAGAGGGACATGAAGAATGTGGCTTGAGCCACGGGGACAAAGGGGAGAGGAGCAGTCTGCAGTTACGTTCGGAGAGTCGAGACATCCTGTACTGATTCATTTCTCTCACCTCCTAAATTTGACTATCAGGGAAAAAGGGCTGCTACTTCCATTTTCTCAGAGTGCCTACCTGGTAGAGTGTCATAACAATTTAAGTCAGCAAGTATTTGCACTGTTTATATGATGAATTCCTGAAGATTTTCACATATTCAAATTCCCACAGCTGCTAGAATTTTGTTAGAATGACAAATCACTATCAACCCATTCTGAAGCATAAGCAGGAAATGAATTGACGTTCACTGACTTTCTTAAGCGTAAACTAATTCAGCGCAGAAACCTTCAGGACTTTTTAGTACAGGTATCTGGAATTTTGCGGTGCAGATGAAGAACACGGGTGAGGGGAGTTTGAGGGATCTAAAGATGTGGATTCTGATCTCTGCTTTGGCTCTACCAGCCTACATGATTTCAGACAGAGCCACGATTTCCCAGAAAAGGGTGACTACTACTTGAGAAACATTATCAGCATCCCAGTCGCTGACAGTCCTCTGATAAGGGGCACTCTGGGGTCTGTTCTCTTGTCTGTCAAAATCAGTGGTCCGACTGGACCAGTCCTTCTTGATTATTTTCACTGACAAACCCTCCTTAATACCCTAAGAGGGTATTAAAGAACAAAATTCCTTGGTAATTACTATTTTACCTTAAAAATTTACAGGAATTTCAAAATTCTACTTGATCATGTATCCGCATTTTAATCTAGAAACAACCACCCCCTCGCCCCAATCCCGCGTACAGCTGACTGTCCTGGACTCCAGCACTCCCCTGCACGCT